TTGTTCTCCGTGCCTCCTTCAGGATGGCGCAAACCGCGAGGTGGACAGCACATGACTTGGCAGAAAGGCGTCAAAGAGATCACGAAGAGTGTGGGTGTTGTTGGTGTTGTGCGCCTTCCAGGATGGGGTCCCCGTGACCCCGTCTGTGCTTGGCTGGAGGCGTTGCAGGAAAGGGCGGCCAATCGATGTCAGTGGCGTTCGTGCTGCCAGTTTCTTTCCAGATTGTCTAATTGAGCCGTTGGAGGTGTAGGCACCTCAGTATGCTTGACATAGACCAGCACTAGGTCCCCTTCTTCACCCACTCTTTTTCTCTTCTCTTCACTGTAGGGCTTTTAATACAATTATATATATATGTGTGTAACTAGACGAAACTTATGATTGTACGGCAGTGAAGCATCAGTGCCAACACTGATGTTGCTGTCTTTGATGATGACGCTGATGAACGTGACATTTTCCATTAAACTCCTCGTGATCTACAAAAATGAAAAGCCGAAAGTTGTGGTAATGGTACTATCCCATTTACTGTATCCCCCCGGAAGGGTGAGTTGAATCCCAAGGTGCTTCTGGATAATTTTGACCTCAGTACCATTGCGGGAAAACCATCAGCTGCTCCGTCGAAGGTCGAGCCAGAGCATGCATTACGACAGCGATGCTGGACAGGCACCATTCACAAGCCAGTAAGGCAATTGCACGTGAAACCCCGACACTGAAGCTACATCAATAAACTTCAGAGGGAGGTGCTGACCGGAATGCCAAACCAAAACCGCCCCACCGTTCGCAGTTAGGCGTTGCTATGGCCCAGAAGCCAAACTTGCATGCGATTGGCCAGGACACCTAGGGCGCTTGTTAGTCCATCGTCAAGCCGAGCTCCGATTGGCAAAAATATGGACCCAACAAGCAGTACTGACAGTGTCTGCCGAATACCGGTTGCCAATGTTGTTCACAGTTTTTTCCACGTTCGTAAGTTGTCCAGACAGATTCAGGGATTGTTTCACAGGATCGAGGCTTTTACCCAAGTTTCCCGGGTCGCTTTTGTTCTCGTCGGTCAGTGACTGTCGTTCACCTGAAAGGCACAAGCGAAAAAAGGGTGTAGCATTGCTTTTTATGTTCTCAGCGCGAGGCAGTATGCTTGCCAGCGCGAGGATTCGCATAAATAAATGTCTCATAGTGCTTTAAACTGGGTTCTAGAAGGAGCATGTACAACAGTCGTAGGAGGGTCATTCCACGCGCCTACTACCCGAAATGAGAAAAAATTTTGTCTAATGAATGTGCGTGCTCTGAGCTTGAAAATTTTCTTACTATGTCCCCGCAGTGTGTTTCTGGGTCAACGGTGAAAAACCTGTTGGTCAAGCTTTGTTCAAACAGGGCATAAGTAAGAATTAGGTCCCTCGGGGAGAGAGATCAAGCATCGCGAGACGGGTTTTGTAGTCAACGGATTTGAGGCCGACAACCATTCTCGTAGCGGTTCGCTGAACACGTTCAATGAGGGTGACGTATTTCATGCGTCCTGAGTAGAAAATTGTTTGGCGTATTCCAGGATTGGTCTGACGTAGGCCCCATAGAGTATTTGGAAGTCCATGCGAGTGATACGGGAGGAGATGCGTCGGATCATCCGTAACGAATAGAATACCTTTTGGGCCGATTTCTCACGGTGCAGTTAGAAGGACTAGTTTGAGAAGACCCAGATGCCCGAATCCTTTTTGGCATCTATCCTCATGATGTTTTCTGGTCCTTTCTCACCATGCATAACAAAGGCATTCGCTGACTCTCCTCTAAATGACATATGGACGCACTTTCCGTCATTCAGAGGAAGGTGCCAGTCCAACGACCACCTGCTTTGCAGCGTCTACTTCCATTTGGAGGGCACTGGCATTGGAACTCCAGGATTTCATGTCGTCCGCACAAAGCAGACATTGACTTGTAAGAGAATCTGAAAGGACTTTGATGTATATCAGTAACAGCAGTTGTCCCAAAACAGAGCTTTGAGGAACTCAACTGGAGACTGGCGCTGGAGAAGATTAGGCCGGGCCTATTTCCATTCGGAATGGTCTGTCTGGTAGGAACGCCTTGACACAGAGTAAAATTCTCCCCCAGATCCCTTGAGACTTGTGTTTGTGGAGCAGCGAGACGTGTGGGACCCAAAAAAATGTTTTTGAACGTCAAAAAATAATGCGTTTATGAGTCCTTCATCCTTGCCTTGGATTAAGCTGTCCCGAGATACGACCATGTTCGGCACGCAAGAACTGTTTGGGAGAAATTCTGTATAAGCTGAAGAAGTCAAGTTGTTGGAAGTAAGGTGATCTAGTGAAGCTTGCTTCAGAATGCGTTCCATCACCTTGCACGGCACGCTAGTGAGGCTTAAAGGCCTATAGCTACCAGGCGGTAGTCGGTCACCAGTTTTGTAGATTGGTGTGACAATCACTTCCTTCCAAGCAGAGGGAAGGCGGCCTTCGTCAAGCGAGTGAAGAAACACCAGGTGTATATTATTTGCCGGTGTGGACGACGTTTCCTTCAGGATCCTTGAATAGACCTCGTTCGGCCCCAACGCTCAGAATGGGTTGATCTTGTGCAAGAGTTGACGAATGTCCCCCACCGTGAAGACCAGGTCGTTTAGAGGCTGTTCGTAGTCACGCCCTGACAAGAGTGGATGTGACGAGGACGCTGGGGCTGAGTATAGACATGCATAGTGTTCTCTGTAAACCTCAGATACCACTGTTGTGTCACTCGTTGGTTCTCCGTTTATCCTTCCCAAGAGAGAACGCGAATGGCTTGTTTCTGCGGCGATGTCTCATGCATTTGAACAAGAAGTTCTTGTTTTTCCGAGTGCGGTCCAGGATGGTGGCTTGTTTACGTATGTTACATTGGCGGATTTCTGATTTACAGTGGTCCCGCATTTTACGAAATGCCAGCTCGTCTTCTGTATCCCCTGTAGTCAAATTTTTGAAAAAGAGTTGGGGCCTTTTCTCCAGAAGTCACCGAATCCTTTTTGGCAGCCTGCGGTTAATAATAATAATGTTTATTCCCAACTTGTGGGTGGCATACCGTCTGGCATGACCATAGTTTCACAGTCAGAATGGAGCATGGCTGGGGGATTTGTGGGGGTGCGGACTGCACAAAAGAGGATAATGTCATTAACAGCGGGGAATATCCGATGATATAGTAATAATAGGTTTCTTTCCCAATTTGATGGGAACAATGGGCATGAGGTCCGACTTGTTCAAGTGCACCCTTCCTTCCTAGATTGTCCTAGTATCGTCCTTCTCACTAACAACCCCCAGGAATTTACACCCCCCTGACGTTACGAGTTTCGTTTACCCTCACCACACCGCCTCTTAGCCCACATGCAGTAAACTGTCCTGTCTCAGGTAGTATAGTTATATTGGCAATCTTAGCTTGACTCTGATGACTACACTACTGAGTACAGATTCATCCTTATCCTGTCTTGTTTAATCACCTGATGTCCTTCCATAACTGTGGTAGACGTTCATTTTTTCCCTATTAAAGGACTATATCCTGTCTGATAACCCCTATAACTCTCCAGACCTTATTGATCTCATCTCATTTCATCTTCTCCCCAAGCTTCGACCCGTGGTAATGCGCGCTATGGACTATCTGTTTGGCTGTTGTCAACTCCACCCGATTCGTGCATCACGAAGGAAGGGATCCCCACCTGAAAATAAAAGGGAAAATAACAACAACAAGACTGCATATCTCAGCCTTACAACCTAATTCACGACGTCCATCACGGGGCTGTCCAGAAACCGAAGTACTTCAGTGCAGTGATGGTACGGCGCTGGAATACCCGGTTTGATAGCATACCCGCAATTGTTCCCCTCTTAATTTTGTCCAGGCCCTCTCGCTCACTGGTTCCCATACCGACAACCACAATCAACCTTCATTTGTCCCCGGCCACCACCGGAAGGCGTTCATTTCAATCTGCCGAACCTTCTGCCAGATGCAAAGATCTCGACGGCTTTTATTCGTACTCCTCACCGAATGAGTCAATTATTGCTCAGCTTGCGTGAACTCGTTTCCCAAGAAACTTTTACACTCGACCCTGCTTCATCTGCAACACTAGTGAGTCGCTTCACTGCACACTGTACTTCTGCGTTTCCTGCTACCGTTTGTCCGTAATACATTTTTACCCCACTACACCACCCCCACATACCTTTCCGTGGCCATCCGCCATAGCCCAAGGCCATGAAGCCCTAGTGACGGTTCCGGACTTTAGTTCAAACCGGCCTGCCATGTCGTGGCAGCTCTGCTGCATCTCCATATCCATTATTCCGGCCCTACACTTCTTGTAGTTTGAATATTTTTGCTTTTCTCACGTTCCAGTCTGGAAGCTCTTTGTTATGCCCTCACTTGTATTGTTTTCTTTGCCCGCCACTTTTAAACCTCAGCGATCAGATCTTGAGCCATCTGATATGCTCTCCATAGGACATAAAGAGACCTTGTAATTTTGGATTCCTACCCATGCCACCTCAGGTGTGATAAACTCTACTCCATTATTGCTTACTGTTTACGTCACTTTCCCTTTTCCCATTAATCACAAACCCCACTAGTCATGCCTTTATTCTGACTGTAATACTGTGATCATGCCCGACGGTATGCTACCCACTAGTTGGGAATAAATATTGTTATTATTATTAAAAGCGGAAACCATTGATGGCCATGAGTGGCCTTAGACGGCTAGGTAATAGGCCGGAGTCACAACGAGCAAAAGTGGAGATGGAATTGGTGTGGGACATCAGGAAGTCAGCGGTATTCGACGTTCGAGGGGATGTAACGACGGAACACGTCAGTTCTGTAATGTGCAGGTATAGGATGTGGTATTACGGAATCCACACGGCACACACAGCACACATTCTCACAGGTCGGGTGACAGAAAAGAACACCGGAACGTGGCAACAACACACGTGTATTAAACCGAAACCGGAAGACGGGGGCACAAAGTCAGATCAATTTCAATCAGAAGGGTGTACAGGAGGATTACTCTTTCCTGCACGGGGCTCGTGGTGGATCGTCCGTGGTACATGCAATAGGGGAGGAGACACTTATAAGGTCGTATGATAGACGTGCAAACCGATACAGTCAAGTTTCAACTGCGTTACACTGCCCCCTTCCGAGCCTGAGCACTGTCCTCAGTGCCCGAGGAGTGCTTATAACAATGAGAATTCAAATTGGGAGCACATGTCAGGTTTTGTCGCAAAAATGTGGTGCCATCTGAAAGTAAGCAGATTCACTGTTTGCACTACTGTAGGGAAGTCAGGTGCAGGGGATAGGTTGGATGGGATCAAGTTGCTAATACATAGGGTGACCCGAACACCGTATACGGATTTGAACTTTTGGTGGAGGCAAGCCGAACTTGCAGCAGAAAACCGTGCCAGCTACATTCGAGCAAAAATTCACCGGGTACGGAAGAGCTCATCCCAGAGACGGGGCCGGGTGTAACGTTTACTTGTAGTTGTGACTGCGGGCTTGAGTGGGCAAGGGGTTGCGGTCGAGATGCTGGAGAAAATAGTTGAGGGAGCGTCATCTCACTGGGTATGAGAGTGCCATGCCATCATCGCACTGACATGCTTCGGTTTAGGGACAGCCCCGTAACGGTCGTCAAGTGTCAGAGAAGGAATACGCAGCCCCGTGGCAGCTGGTTCTGGGTGAGACGGAGATTGACACGGAGTTTCAGGCGGATGCAGGCTCAAGGATAATTTCCCTTTTTGTTTGAGGACCGTGTGAATGTATCCCGGACGCTAGCCAGTTTGGGTGAATAACAGTTCTCAAGGGCGTTTCGACAACTGTAGTTGAATACGTTTGCCGATCTAGAAGCCAAGTACTAATTGGGCCAGTGTAAGTGCCTAGCTTTAGGAAGGTGAAAACTTTGTCATCCAGGTAGCTAGCACGGAGGCCAGCTGTTGGACTAGTTGAGAAAGTACGGTATGATTTTGCTCACCAAAGCGTCATGACATCGGATTCTTGTTGTGCAGAAAGAGGGATTAATTTGAGTAGTGACAGTGGACAAGTAGCAACTTCACAGATAAATGATAAGAATCGTAGCTTAACTGAGGTCTACTACGTCAACCTGACAGGAAAGCAAGATTAAGGATCACCAGTCACCGAGTCACTGCTGTCAACTCCAGGTTCATGGCAAAAAACAGCCATTAAGTGCTAGCTGTGACCACATGTAATCAGGAAATCATAAGTTACTAGCATTTTGTGCATATGATCGCTCTAGAAAACAAGAGGGAAGAACGTGTGTGTTACGTTTGGATGATGAATTGGACTAGAGATGGTGTGACTCCGCTAAGAAAAAAGTTCACCCGGCTGCGCGCTGGGTTTTTGGGACGAACATCACGCCAGTTTCGTGAACTTTCTGGCCAATTTAGGAAGGATTTTTTTCCACTGGAGCTGGTCCCAGTGTAACTTGTTCAAGAAAGATGCGCATTCCTGAGAGGTCTGCACGGCAAATGTCTCGAAACCACGTTTGTGGTACGGGATTTCGGGCCCGATAGCAGATGAAGCCAAAGGCCAGCACACAGTGGTCGCTATGTCCAAGTGGAGCGTTAATTGTTGCCTGATCAACTAAATGTCCTTCGTTGGTGATGAACAAGTCCAGGAGGGATGGTAGTTGGCCTTCGCGGTATCTGGTGGGTGCAACGACATTTTGGGTCCAAGCGCTCTGCTGAACGACTTCAATCAGCGCCGCCACAAAGAGTCTGCTTGAGTGTTTTGGCGCGGTTTGACCGGAAAAGTGTCTCTGTGGGGCCCTGAGCGCTGGGTGGCGGCACAAAGAAGTAATGATTTTGGTGGCGATCCCGAGAGGCTCGTTTTCGCGGAGGACTGCACCCTGAAGCCAGCCAGCAGTTTTCTAATCTGGCGAATCTTATGTTGCTTGTTTGGTCGCATTCGCTTTTCTTTCACGTTTATGTGGACGCCCGATCCCCCGGTGATCAGCGTGGCCGACTTGATGTACGATTGATTTTTTGGTTAGCTGTAGTCACGTTTATGTCTTTGGTTGTCCTGGGCGACGGTCGTGTCCACAAGCAGAGAGGACGCTTTTAACGGAGTGGAGTTGGATATTGGCTTGGCTTCTTGTCCCCGCACACCTGGCTCAGTCCAATTCAGACTCTGTGGCTTTGTTGAGGAGTGCTTGCCTGCAGCTGTGTCGTCTGTTACGGGGACAAGCGTTGGTAGCTCCACGTACCTTGGGCGCTGCTTGCATGTGGGGTTTGCCTCCCCCCGGGCATCCGAGCCTTTGGTGGGCGCGAGGCCTGTGGTGGTCGGGTAAAAACTGCTGTCAGGTGACGCAGCTTGTTTCGTCGGCCTACTGTCGGGAGCATAGGGGGCTATGACCACAATCCGTTTGGTCATGAGTTTGGGGTCGGCTGAACTGGCGCCCGTCGGAAGCCTGTTTCGTGCCTCCACCCCTGACCTGTTTTGACCGAGCTTTCGCGCTTCTAGAGGGCGATCCTCAGACAGATGCCTGATACTTGGGTTGGCCTTTTGAATACTGTCAGCCCGCTCCAAGATCTTCTGTACGGCACATGGGAAGGAGAGGGTGACTAGAATCCCAAGAGTTCGCTTTCTTTCCTGCTGACGTAACCATTCTGCGTGGACCGATTGATCAGGCCTGGTGAGGACACTGCTAAGGATCGATGGTGCCAGCTTCGCTGGCGTGATTTTTCCGGATTGTCAATATGTTCTCCCTTGAGCGCCTGTCCGCTAGAGACGTGGCGGTCTTTTTAGCAGCGTCAGAGTGTTATATGACTTTCCTCTCAGCCAGAGGACCCGGTTGTGGATAGCGCGTGGTACTCATCCAGCGAAGAAATTTCCTTATCAACTTTCGTTCAAGTCGCTGCATTCTTCATGTCTGAATCCTCTAAGGCCTCAGAAAGATGCCCAAATTTTGCGTCGCGTATTCCGATGAAAGCGGAATACTCACATCGGTCCTTCTGATTCTGTAGCGGGGTTGAGTACCGTTTTGGGGGGCTCTCCCCTTGGCTGTGGTATGCATTGTACCCTTGACGTGGAGGCAACTGGTGCAGACAAACGGGTCAGGATAATTAGCTAGTCGGTTTATCTGGTCGTCCAGTAAATCCATGCATTTGAAGTGCCACCAGGCCTTGCAGGTGTGGCATTGCATACCGCGTTTGACGTTCAACCAGCGGCCATTTTGCCCACATCTGTTGTGGTCCATCGATGGCTGCAGAGGATAATCGGCATAGATTGCTGTAATGTTTAAGACTGGATGCAAAATAGGAAATGTGCGCAAAATAACAAATGTTATCTCGCAAATGTTTTGTTAGAATAATACAATTGAACAATTACTCGTGTGCACTCCGTGAAGAGGTTGAATAACGGAAAGATTCTTCCGCAAATTTGCACGAGGGAAAAACGAAACCGATTTTGAAGGTACCGCGCCAAGGCTCAGGTCCAGATGCTAAACCAGATGCTAAAGCTGGTTTTTTTGAAGACTGAACCTTACAATAAATATGATAAAGACGAGCACCCTTTGTTGCTTGAAAGCCGGCCGTAACACGGAAACGAACGAGGACATAATCCGATCCTCATACGTTTTCCGGAAGGAGGAGTCTTTAAAACAAAATCGCCATCGACAACGATCGATAAGCGGTCAGATTGCTTGATTGATTGCGGTTTTGAGGCACCGGATGACGCGAAAAAGGGATTTGTGCTGCGGGAAAATGGACGGTGACCAGCGTGATGTTGAATTCGATTTGAATTATGGGCTATTGGAACTTCCGCACTGGATATTCTGCCTGTGCGCCTCTCATCCTTGTCTATCCTTTTCGTTTGGGTATTGAAATCGCCAACCAGGACGGTGGTGTTAACGTAATGAGTGCTTACCGCCTCAGAGATGCAGCTAGTGAAACAGTGGAAATTTTACCACCTAACCTCGCAGTGGCCGGGCTTCTGATCACGATCGCAGTTCGTAGCGCCAGAGTTGTAGACTTGAGGCCTAATATGTAAGCTGATTTCTCACCCGCCCGAAGAGTGTTGAAGTTCGATAAATTCTATCCTTGATCCGGATGGATGTACTCTAGACAGACCATGAAAATGATGCAGCTATCAAGGTAGACACATCTGACCACTTCTCAGCCGGTTCCTAGACAGGCGTGAGCTTCTGGTTTGCTCCTACCCAGCCATGCGACGCTCTACATTTTTCAGTTTTGGGGCCAGGCATAGTTGCGTAGATTATTTATGTACTTAACGTTGCCATAGCATAACATCAAAGAATGTATGTGTCGTCTACTTGCCCGATGTCTGTTTCTCCCAGGTCCGTTCAACTGCCGGATGTCAGACAGAACATTTCAACTACCTAATTAGAACTAAATAGGTCTCACCTCCGAAAGTAATACAGTGCGACGAATTATAGGTCACCAAGTGGAACAGCCAGCGTGCACAGCGTGAACCTGGCGAAAGTGGGAAGCTGAAAAAGAGGGAGATGTCTTAAAAATTCGTAATGCTGAAAGACTATTTCAGTTGGTTCATGCATCTCCCTTGCTTTGCCGGTGGGCAAAAAACTCGAGGATCAAAAAAGACGCAGCCATCTTTATTGACGGGTACCAATTCGCGCGGCCAGTTGCTGACAGGCAGAAATAGCGCGTTGAACTCGGAACACTTTACGGCCCCGTGCGTTTATGGCAACATATGTTATCTTGAGCTCTTCCGCGCTTCCTGTCCGGAAGACCCCTGTAGACGTTGTTCGAGTATGGGAGACGAAGTGCAAAATCAACGCTCATCTATTTGTATTTATTTAGGACAAGATGAGGGTACCAGAATGATGGAGAGAACCGTTTGCATCATCCATTACTGAAAGAGGGTGCTTGACAAATGCGGTCGACACATCAGTACCAGCTTGATCATAATCAAATCGAGACAGTTGGCATCCAGATTGCTTGAATGAACGTCTGGATGTGTAGATACATCGGAATAATTGTCTCAAGCTATCACTGCGTCCACTCCGGATTGGCTTTCATTCGTTCCATCAAAATTAGGCTTTCAAATAAATCGTGTTTTACGGCTGCGAGGCACCAATTTTAAACATTGATTTATACTCTTGACGATGTTGACAGTGATGATGCAGCGTGAATATTACCGAATCGAAAGGCACATTTGTTTCAGTTCGCAGTTCGAGTTGTCTTTTGTGGCGCTGAAAATCGGCTTGTGCACGCAAACGGGGCGGGACGTCCCCAGACCTTTGAAAACCGTTGCCTGCAAATCTGCGAGGACGAAGTGTGAAGGCGGTTATTTTATGTGCAACGAAAACCTTGGTCGAATATTATCTTCACTTCTGAAGGCTGCAAAGAATAGACCTTTAGCCTACCAGCAGAAGCGTCGTCTATCGAAAATGGTGCTTGTCCCCCCACACCATTCAAGTTAAAAGAGGTTATCAGTACGTGGCCTCGATTATAGGTATGACGGGACCAAGAGATGCAGAGACCTAATGGGAATTATCAATGCGATTCACCTTCCAGGGGCCGCGTCACCCCTAGTTAGGATGGTTGAAAAGGCCGCTCATTGACATAAATTGCGTTATGCTTGTAAGGTTTTCTCCAAGATGCTTGAAATTTATGTCTTGATGTGTGGGCCTAGTGAAACGACGGTGGCAGGAGGGAACATTAAGTTTTATCCTTTTTCTACTCAGCAATACGTCTAAACAAATTACGTTTGTACGGCAAGTAAGTATCACTCTTCACTCGTGATGCCGATGCCAATGACCAGCAAGCGTCCTGGAACTGCTAGAGGTTAGAATGAAACTTCACCGGATTTCATCAGCGATTAATTTGGAAGAAGTATCTTAGAGACTTATTTTACAGAAATAAAAGGTTCTCGATATTGTTTGAACGTGGAAAAGAGAGAATAAGTTTCAGCGGCTTCGCCACCCGAAACTAATTCAATTTACGTTGCTGTCACCTTATCACCTGTTATTCGATCTACTGGCTTCTTCGATTGATCAAGACACTTAATACACGTAAGGTACATCTCTCCCGTTTCCGACGACGGTAGAGCTGTGGCGCCCTTCATGCTAGTTGATACAAATAATTGAATATCTCTAATTGTTTGACATTTTTGGAGGAATATTATCTCTATGAGGAAGAAAAATTAAACTTTACGCAACCAGACGACTGCAGTCATACGTTCAAGTGCAGACCGTCTTGAGTCACGTGACTCGTAGTAGCACGTGGTGTAGCAAACTTTCATTCCGTTCAGTAAAAGGCCAAGAAACAACGATAGCCGAGTTGCAGCTGAGTTTGGCACCACTGGGATTAGTTTATTTAAACGAAAATCAGAAACGGACCTACAGGCTACCATAGAGTTAGATTTACAGCTTTTTTATGAAGAATAGAAGCCATGTACGACAACGTTGCTCAGAAAAACCGTCATGGCGCCAAGGATAGATTTAAGTTAATAATGAGGTATAATTTTGTGTTTTGAAACTAACATAACTGTGTCAAAATCGTACATCTGATTTTTTTATCTACGAATCTTCATGCGGACGGTGGTTANTTGAAACTAACATAACTGTGTCAAAATCGTACATCTGATTTTTTTATCTACGAATCTTCATGCGGCACGGTGGTTATCTTATTAGACGCTCATTTATTCGCGCTGGGGTGCATGCTACCCCATGCCAACAACCTAAAGAGCAGTGATACACCTTCTTTCATTTGTGCCTTCTAGGTGAACGACAACCACTGGACGGCAAGAACAAAACGGACCCGGGCGTTTTTGGCGACAGTTTCGATCCAAGATATCAATCCGTGGATCCGTGAATGTCATCCCCGTTACATCCCATGGTTCCGACGTTGCCAGAGGACAAATTGACAACGTTCCGTTCAACCGCATGCCGTCCTCCTAAAAATTCTACCAAATTCATGCTCAGCCTCACTTTGCTGTATGTTCGCGCCTTATTTTCTTCCATTCACTGCCCTACCTACAGTGCTAAGCATACCTCGATCGACCCTGAACCCACGCCTAACCAACCCCATTTCATGAACCTCCATTCCTGTCCCAGAATACTTCTAGGACGAAGCAATACCGCGGTTGACCTTAAGGAATGATTGGCTCAGCAATTTCAATAACATACAAAAAATTGCAAAACAGCTATTTCCGAAAGTCTACCCCTGGACTTAGCTCCCCTGAGTTTCATCACACGTCCCAGGAAAAATAATAAACACTGCCCAATGTAAAGGTCAGCACTCTCGTGAAGTGTGCGTGGCGCAGAAACCTCGACGCATTTTGCTATGTTACGGCTGCGCAGTCCCGAGGTCACCCCATCATCTGAACATACGACGTCATTATGCACCTCAACACTTTCTCTGATCTCTCTCCAAAAACTGCCAACTCCTGGATTAACAACAGTTTGATTTTCGGACTATTTTATCTGAGCTTTATGTATGATTATGCATTTTAACTTTCAAGATTCATGTCTAGAGAAAACAGTTGTTTATCCCCGTGCAAAAGATCAATAGAAACACGGTTCGCGAAAGCTGGTTTTGTTTTATTCAGGCGGTTGTATTCCAGAAGGACAACATATACATTTCTAAGGACTGTCCTCTTTAGTTGGGTTCGGCAACCACACATCGTGAGGCCCCATAACAGCGTCGCGTACACGTGTGGTTTCGCAGCATTTGTGTATATGAGGCAATATATACGATCACGAAAATGGCAGTTAGCTTAAAGAGCTCCGTTTGACATTGAGTGATAAATTTTTTTGTCCGATATGACATGTTTCATCTCAGGGGCTCATTTTTGTACCCGTAGATATATGAAAACTCTGCTATATTTACTGAATAGATTTGGATATATGAGAATGTGGATCATCCACAGAGATCATCCACAGACTTGCGTCATTATAGAAAGATTCCTTATTGTTATATTGCAAGCAATGCGACCACAACAAAAGCAGTGTTGACCGGAAGTTCGCCAAACAAAATCATGTGATTTGTTACGTCCAACGAATATAACGCGTTCAAAACTTATTCAAATGTTCATCTGCTTGTAGCTTGCGCTGGATATTCTGCGGAAGTTAGGTTTTATTTGGAGATCACCGCGAAACAATGAAATGTGCAACCATTTGGTATTTTGCCTTTTCTCACAAATTGGTAATCATCTGTTTTTTTGGAAGCTAACAGTGATCTTGATAGCTCGCTCGCTTAAAAAGATGCTGTTAGCAAGATATCACTAAAATATGCAACCGGATTGACATAAAACTGTGTAACATTCGCAACTTTGAAACTCCATTTTTTCGGTGGCCCCCTTGTCTCTGCCGCCAACTTGACCATTAAATCAATCACTCAGATTCAAGTCCATTGGAATCAGGCTACCTACTTGGGCATCCATACCACTCGCTTTGATGATCATTCTGTGAACCCATATAAATCTCAACAAAATGTTTTTGTGTCACGCCAGCAGTCTTTTAGGGGAGTAATCTTACTCTACAAGCATGCACCGGTTTTTGTGTCGAGTGGCACTGAGTTTGAATGGGAGGAACTATTAGTTGGCACAAGGACAAATGGGCAGTTGTAGTGGGAGTCAAACTTTGAAGCCTTATTCTCCTCTAGCAGATTGATTATTGAAAAATATTTATCATACGTGCGCCAGCCACCGAAAAGAAAAGCACCTATTCATGTTGGATTCCGAGCCTTGACACAGCTTCTATGTATGGAATCGCTATCATGGCTGAAGAACTTATACCCTGCAGAATACACGCAGCTAAGCCCACAGGAATCCGCTCAATCGATGAGGCGAAATAACTAGAAACTGGACATGCGTTTACATTGCACTAGAGTAAAGAATAACAAACAATTAGATGTGGCTAGATATGTAGATGCAGATCATAAGAATTTAAAGGACTGAATCACCTATGGGGACCCGGTGCATCCGGGTCGTAGAAAAACGAGGTGTGCATGGTCCACTCACCTGCGATTTAAACACAAGGAAATTCAGTGGGGCAATAACCGCACAAAAAGGACAAATGTGCAGCTCCTCTTGACGGGCATTTCTCCAAATTCAGTGGGATCAACGGATCAGTATTTGTTATCCGTGGCCTGTAGCTTCTTGGTTAAGAATGGTCAGACTGTGGTTTAGGGTGAGTGAACGCACAAGCACTCGTGAAGGTTCCTCCCGTTTTTGCATGAATAACCGCCTAGGTTTTGACATTACACCTCCTGCACTTGTCCCACAAAGAATAGCAGCAGAATTAACAATATATATATGGAGGATGTATTATCCGTTATGTTGACAATGGAATTCCCCACGTTTATTATGTCCCCATTTGTAACCCCCGCCCCGCTGTGTTTTGTGTGTATATATGAACTGACGTTTGTTCGTCCTTACCACTTCACCCATTTGGCTTCGAGGTCATCCGGCCATCCGTATTCTGACTCGAACTACAGTCAGTCAGTAAAGCATCCAGCTCTTCTTCCAAACAGATGTCCTATTACTGCCTTAATCGTACGTCACTTTCATGAAGTGGAAAGGCACTGTGGAGTAGAGCAAGTCTTGGCCTCTATTCGACGGCGATATTGGATTGTCGATAAGACCGGTGCCGTTAAACGAGTGATTGGTGAGTGCTCTTTATGCAGATGCCGGTCCGCACAGCTCGGTGGACAAATGATGGCTCCATTACCGGCAGACAGAGTAGAAGTGGGCTGGTGCACCTTTGAGAGCGTGGGAGTGGACTACTTTGGACCTTTTAAGACCATACGCGGCCGTTTACAGGAAAAACGCTACGGCTGTATCATTAGCTGTCTGAAGACTAGAGCAGTCCATTTGGAGATGGCAGGCAACCTGTCGACAGATTCATTCCTTCAATGTTTGATCCGCTTCGTTGGTAGACGTGATAAGCCCACCGATATCTACAGTTATAATGGTACGAACTTTGTTGGCGCACTGAGGGAATTTCGGGATGATATAAAGCTCTGGACCCCGAACAAATTATCAGACCGGCTTTTGACTATGGATATACAGTGGCACTTCAATCCACCAGCAGCTAGCCATCGTGGTGGTGTGTGGGAGCGCATAATCAGGTCGGTACGACGTATACTTTTATGTCTATGTAGGGAACAATGTTTGACCGATGAGCAACTGAACACGCATCTCATACAGGCCGAACGGATTCTCAATAACCGGCCTATAGTCCCGCTATCATCAGACGGCAACGATTTGGAGCCGCTTACTCCAAACATTTTGTTGCTGATGCAGTGCTGTCCTGCGGTAACCGGTCGCGACGGTTTGGCTTCGCGATATCATGCCGGTTGGAAACAGGTCAATTAACTTGCTGGCGTATTCTGGTGTCGTTGGATAAGGGAATATCTGCCAACGTCGCAGATGCGCACCAAGTGGCTCAGAGCAACTCAAGAATTGAAACGAGGGGACTTAGTTCTGGTTTCTGGTGAGGACCTGCCTCGTGAGAAATGGCCTCTAGGGGCAGTAGATAGTTGTGAGGCGAGTCCAGATGGCTTAGTAAGAACACTGTATGTTAGAACGGCGGGCGGCGTTCTTAAGAGAGATATTAGAAAGGTGTGTTTACTGGAGGGACGCTAATAGGCTTGTACACCGTCGAATTCGGCACTGGTGGCAGGAGTGGACTCGGACCATTCGTGTCGGTGGCTGATGGGGTACCTTAGAATGGAGCTGAGCGTAGGTAGAAGCCAAGAACCGGGGCGCCCGCTGAATCAACGTGGAGAATTTGGCGGGCGGTGTATCATCCGTTATGTTGACAATGCAATTCCCCACGTTTATTTTGTCCCCATTTGTAACCCCCGCCCCACTTTTGCGTTTTGTGTATATATGAACTGACGTTTGTTTGTCCATACCACTTCACCCATTTGACCTTGAGGTCATCCGGCCATTTGTATCTGACTTTGCACTTGTCACTGTCGCACGTTGGAGCCTGTTTTCTCCCTTGCTTTGCACTTTTGAAGTCCAAGCGGACTATTTGTTTTGGACGCGTATCTACTGTCGAGGTTTGTACAAATTGCGAATTTCTTTTACCATAATAGTACCGTATAGAAACCCAGCTCCGACTTTGTTTTGCCTGGAGGGAGGTTCTGGTATTACGCGTCACTTGAAGATACCGTTCGACCATTACAGGGGAGTTCTGGTGCAAGTGATAGTCAGCCGCCAGGGGGAAGAAGGAATAAAATAAATAGAAGTCAGTCGAATCCACCGATTTTTTGCCATGTTGTCGAGTTTGAACTTGTTGGGTACTTGGGCTGGTGTACCGCCTTGAAGCCAAAAGAGAAATTCCATTTTCTAGATATCCTAATAAAAGAGGCAACAGATGGACCTAATCAGGAGGAGATCAGCGCAGAGCATCTTTGGGAGTGTGAACGACATCTGTAGTACCAACTTCGATATTTTACACATTGCGCACCAAAATACCATGCCTATCGCAAGCAAAATACTTTCGGACATCCTGGGATATGTCCCCAGAATTATGATCGATTATTTGTGTCACTGATTATGCCTTATGCACTTTTATGTTGCTCTAGGCTTGAGAATATATTTACCCACAAGCCAAACTCACGTAAATGGTTTGTTCAGTCGCCATCAGCTTCCGAAGACAGACAATCTTGCGGGACAGTGAATGAATTTGCGGTGGTGCATGCACAGGCAGTGATTCGATTCCAGAGTCAGTCTCCTGACTTCCTCTACATATTCTCCCGTCATTTCATGGATGAATAATTTAGGGCTAGTTGCCTTATCATCTCAACCTTGTCGTTCTGGTTTGACGTTCATATGATAGTCGTAAGACACAAGTCTCTCAGCGGAAAACACTAAAGTAAAATTTCCCAAGACCGCTTCATTCAAAGACAATACGTCTATGCTGATGGTCACTCACAACACAAGAGTGGGACTAGTTGATGTGAAAGTATATACAACTTCCGGTTTTTGATGCGCATATGATTGTCAGACATGGCTCAGTCGCGCCCTCAATGGCGCTCGTGCATCAAAGCTATTGCCTTCAATGCATAGTTCCTTTTCCACCCCCCACTTGACAGCCTGCTGACAGTGCTGGGTTTATGCACCAACTAACCAGCTCGCGCCGGCAATGCGCAGCTACCTACTCCCTCCCCAAATCATCGATGAACGAAACTGCGGCAGCTGCAAGCACTGTACGACGAATACGCGGTTATTACAGCTGACAATGATGATGATGATATGATTTTTCCCCTCCCAGGCAGCCCTGTGTAGGAGGAACATTTTCGCATTAGGAGCCAGGATGTCTGCGAGTACATTCCTAAGCGGAGTCTTTGCACTCTCTCTAATTCGGTAAATTTTTCCAAGTTTTAAATCGTGCCTTTTCGCCAGTTTCAACCTTAAAACTGATTGTTTTCTGTCATCACACTACGAGTTTTCCACCGGGAATAGTGCTGTTGCGTGACTTCATCTTTCTCATTTTCCGAGAAGGCATTAAATCCATATATGAAGGATATTTATACCGTATTTATGCACTCAGTCGAGAAAAAGAATAAACGCTCTCTGGCGTTGTAATTTGTCCTACTACAGACACGGAAGGTTATCACGGAACCATGTGAATGTTGGGAAATCAGATGTAGTCAGTAGGATGAGTGCAGATGCTAAAAACAAGCTGTAGACGAAGCGCTGGTCGCCCAGCATTTTTGACCAGGAATGAACCAATCTTGTCTTTTACGCACCTATTTGCATGTTTGAAATCGTAGCGCGATTAGGCTTTAGTACAACCGGATGCCCTAAACCGACAGCTGGCCAAAGAGCCGGGCATGCGTGACACCTTGTTGAAATGCAAAGCGTCACCGTTCGAAGTGCTGTGGTTTTAGCCTACTAATCTGGAAGAGCTATTATCAGTCGGTATCGACAACTGTCACCGGTGGCGTTTATGCGCCCTGTTGAGCAAGTGAGCTTTTTTGGCGGAGCATGTATCATTATCACAGTCCTGGCGGAGTTTCGCTCTTGAAAACGTATGGTTATCCAAAAACTAATGGTGCTGGTCTTCTATGCTTTCCAAGAACAAAGCAAACCGCCCCAATCCGAAGTTTCTTGGACGCCGTTGAAAACGGTGGTGCCCATGTGACTAATCTTCCTGCGAGTTTTTTTAAGAATTCGTTTATGGCCCATGAGTGTAAGCACTAAAACTTTCTAATCACGGACGGCATTTGTGCCGTGAATCCATTAATGTATGCCTTTATAGAAACCAAGTGCTCTTTTCCTAGGTGCTTAAAGCCCGGGTCGTTGTTGGGTATGATGGGTGAGCTGTATCCCGAAGAAATGCGCGATGGATGAACTGGCGGCACAGGCGCGATTAGTCAGTGTCGTTTTGTCGTTACGTTGTGCCACACTATTCCCATATAAGTGAGGCCACCAAGGCGCCCTTAACTACGATATAGAATCAGTTTACTTTTTGTCGTAAACAGCCCTTGCAACCGGTTGATCTACTTTATGAACATTTTACCATCTTATATCTTATAGGATATACTGCATCACACGGACCCTGATGCACATTCTCAAGTGCCTCCACTATTGAGTGCCTGTGAATACAAGCATAGGTGAATCCATATGCTCGGCGGTTCCTGGTATTCAGGGTTTTTCATCCAATATAGGAAAAAACCTATTTTTGCATATACTTATGTTGTTTCCCGACATGGCAACACCTTGGACTCTTCTCCAAACAACCAATATTACCCTTCCATTGTCTGCGGAAACGAGCTTAATGGTTGGCGGACATACCGCAGATTCCTGAGACCCAAAAGTTCACCAACTCCATGATGCATTTGATTTTCTGGAGAGAAATCTGAGTTATTAGGAAATCGGTGATGGGGTTATACCCGCTTGGTCAGTTGTCGGAAGATGTTTCTCGCAGTCACTGATGGATTACACTTGATATCCACTCCGATGCGTAGGATG